ATCTCCAAATTTCACCTATTTTTCAAGCTAGACTTGCTCCTCCTCCCTTACCCCCCTCCACCCCTTAAAGGCAAAAACATCACCATCAGATCTTCCAGATATGATCAGAACCAACCACAGTTCCTAACAGGAACACTGGTGTAAGCTCATGCACGTTTCTTAATTTCATTCTAATACATTTTCCCTCCAAAATGTATTATTATTTATGAATAAATGTTTAAACAGAGTGACATGATGAAGTTGGTGAAAACTTAGATTTTGTAGTTAAAAATATTCTTTTCCACAATTGCTAATAATTGAAAATACTTTCCTTGCTCTATGTGCTATGGATTGAATTACAGCTATTCTGGACAATATCACATACTCATTTTCTACAGATTCTCAGATTCTACAGATATTTTAACTTATATTAACCGAGAGTTAGATAATCTTTGTTGTGATTTACTACAATGCATTATTACAGAATCTATATCTATTCTCGGCCACCTATACACTGAGCATTCTGTGTCCTTAGAATGGTGGACTCTTGTGTTACAGAGATATTTACACATGAGTCTGGTTTGCCACATTATGTATTCTTGAAACTAAGATATCAAATTGTAAAATATATCAACATAATCTATGGCAGTACGGAGTTGCCCCAGAACTTAATTATACTAATTATCTGAGGAATCAAATTGAGCATTACGCGGTGCTTAAAAGACTGTGCAAGAAGCTCTCTGTTGCCACCCAATGGTCAGTATATAAAAAAGTATTTTTCTTGGAAGATACACTTCCACCAATTATAAGGTCCATATTGCTGCATATTTTTTTTAAATCCCTATATTTCTAAGAAGCGACTAATAATGGAGCTTCTTTTTTCATATGCATTTAGCTCACCCATTTTTAATATATACATTTTCTCTTATAGATATGAATATATTATCAAAGCTTATTGTATGAAAGTACTAAATATTATGCAATGTACGCCCTGTTTAATTATGGTTGTCGGGTTGTTATTGTTTAAGAAACCAAACACAAATTTTCTGTGGCTGTAAATCATGATGGGGCATGAATGATGGTACAGTGCTTTGTATGTAATAGCTAGCTTGACAGGAAGCTGGACGCATGCAACATGAATACACGAGTCTAACTAAGCACATTGTGAATTATTGTAGTTTAGTTCCCACCGTGAAGTGTTTTGTTGCAATAATTGTTTACGTATACATTCTCACACTATAAAATGCAGAAATGAATAGTACTTGTTATAATAAAAAGCACTATATATAGGCTGCAAATGATCTAAACTGATAATAGAATAATCAATGTGATTCTTTTCATTTTGCTCCTTTTAGCTCTGTCTAAAAAATACTGAAGCCTCATTTTGCTATCGGAATGTATATAAATCTTTATTTCCGATTGTAACTGCATAATTCAGTAAAGCGGCTTCCTTAATCTAGTAGCTTTCACATGTATTATGACTAAAACTCCTATATTCCCTATTAATATAGCTTGCTGGATGAAGTTTTTGGAAGAACACCAAAGTTGTGGGAGAAACATGTCCTACATTTATTGAAGTCAGCAGAATAGCAAAATCTCTGATCTTGGAATTAGAATCAATAACTTTGTATCTGAAGCTCCATACCCCCCCCCTCTCTCTCTCTCTCTTCACACATACACACAAACACATACAGATGCACGTACATAGAGATGCATGCACACAAACATATACACACACAGGCACACCAGCCCCAACACCTCTGAATATTGCCAGGTTGAAGAAGTCTGATATCTCCTCATCTGTTGCTATGAAGCTGCTCAGCAGTTGTTGGCATAATTGCTTGTCCATTACACAGGACTTGGATAATCAGAAAAAATGTGGTATAGATTGGCTGAATTGTTCTTTTTCTGGAAAGATATGGGGCATGGTTTGAAAAAAATATCAAGGGAAACAAAATAAGTAGGGGCAAATAAAAACTTTGGAGAAAAATAACCTAGGTTAAGGAGAAGAGGAAAATAAAGCAGCAGGCAATCTAAGAGGAAAAAGAAAATTGAAAATTATCAGGACTTTCATGGTGGGAAGGTGAATTTGAGGAGTGCTTAAATAATTCAATCTTTGTCAATTCTGTTACAGAAGGATCTGATCTGTACTTTCTGATGTAATGTCCATATTAACACTTATCCACTGAGTTTGCACCCTTCAAATATTCTAATAGAATTCTCTACTCCAAACTTTCAAAATATGTTGTATAGTATATAAAATGAATGTTTTTAAGCTAATTATATAAATTTATAAAGATTATGTGTTGCATTATACCATTGCAGATTAATGGTAAAGTGCAATGGAAGAAATGTATAGTTGAGCACATGTGAAAGCAATTCAGAATAGAATCTTCTCTGAAACATCACATATTGATTTGAGATCATCAACCAAGTCTTTAGCAGCTGGTGGTTTTTAGTAAGGTTCATAAAGACAAAACTGGTATAGCATCTCATTTTCATAAGGTGCCATTCACAGTTGTTCTAACTTCTCATATTCTGATCTTCACTTGATATTTTTAGTAGTTATGAACTCCACCTCCTCACAAAGGATAAAAAGAACTTGTTTAGTTAAATCTTTATGTCTTTGCATACCCATATTTTTTGTGGAGTTACAATTACATGCAACAGGCTAAATACAAAGCCAAGTCAGGGCCCTTTGATTTGGTTTTCTCAAAAGGCAGTCATTGTCTCATCACTTCAAGTGGTACAGAAGTGCTAACAAATGGAAACACAAAGTAGTGTCTCAGCTGTCACTGCAATTTTATGTTCTGCAAGCCAGACTTCTAGAGACAGTCCAGTGTTTGATATCTGTCCAAATAGGTTCTGTTTCCACTTATGTGATTTGCAAAGATAGTTCCCAGCTTTCTGGATTTATAGGACTGGATACTTTTCTAAATAACTAAAGTAAAGTGCAGGTCAATGGTGGCTGCATGTCTCACTATCTCGGGAAAAGGCCGATTTTTAATAGGGCTAAAAATGGTGGTGTTTTGAACCAGGCTGCACTCTGTTTTGGTCTCAGAAATTGAAAATGGTTGGTTCCTTGTATTACCTTTACTTATTTACTGCTTTAAACTCCTTGCTGTAAATATTTAAGTAAACTAATAATGCTCCATTTGAGTAACTCTTTTTTTTTTAAATTTACTGAACACAGATGTGCTTGGCTAGGTTTTTATTTCAGTACATAGTGTGAACACAGCCAAAGGCTGCAGAATTTTCCACATACTGGTATATTCTGATAGAAAACTTTTAAAGTTTAGATTTAGCAGTTGAGTAAATGGAAATTCACCATTCTGTCCTAAACTAGAAAAAGGTGAACTTACGTATACCAAAATGAGGAAAGAATTGTAGAATCGGAAGTATAGGGTATTTAATCTCATTTGATATGGGACAGGAAATTTTGGGCAGCTTTTCTCTGAAGATCTCTTTTAGCTGATTAGATAAATTGTCAAACTATTCTTTGGTCAGCCATAGTATTTATATTTAGGTAACATCTTCAGAAGATGCATGAAAATAGCTCAGAGCTTTTTTCCATTTTTAAAAAAAATGTTTGACAGAGGGCACTTGTTGACACTTTTGCTAGTACCTAATGATAAAGCTGCTATATGCAATTTCTAGCAATGAAGTTTTTTAAATCCCAACTCATGACAGCAAAATATGTTAGGAATCCAGATGTTGAAACTTGTCCATTCCTAGAAATTTACATGAGAACCCCAGAATAATAGATATGTATATAAAACAAGCATATGGTACAAAATTGGGTAAGGACTATAACCTGCCCTCCTCCAGGGAGCTTTACATAAGTTGTTGATTTGTGGGATTTATTTGGTATGGTCAAGATTTGTTGATCTAGATAATTCAGTAACACTAAATAAATAAATAAAGTATAAATACTTATTTGCAGTCTGACCATGAAGATCATTTATAATTTGATATGATGTCCTACATTAGCAAAGAATAATTTAATGTACAGATATTTACCCTTTGTAATCTTTCCTTCCTTCCTCAAAACCATTAATATGTCTGCAAATAGAGTTTTAAAATAAAATAGGCATGCTGATCCTTATTTGTCTATGTCATTACAAATATATACCAGTATATTTTTTTATATGAATACTCAAGGCAGCTTACAAAAGTAAAACAAAATGCAAAAATAAAGGGCAGAAAAACCAAGGAAATTCAAATTAAAGTCAAGGTCATTGTAATTACCGTAATTGATTCAAAGCTAGACAAAAGGGGTTACATTTTTGCCATTTGCCTAAATGTTGGGCAAGTTGGAGTCAAACGTGTGTCCCTGGGTAAAGCATTCTAGAGTCTGGGAACTGTTGAAGAGGAAAAACTTTCCTATGGGTCACAAAAGTAACCTTCTGGCCACAGGGTGCTTGAGAAGTATACTACTTATCTTTGGCCGTCCTTAAAGATTCCAAAATAATAAGATGTGCTTTGTGGTGCCATCAAGCAAGCTGCACCTTTTTGTAATCGTATATCATGAGGCATGTCTCATGTAGGTGCCTAAGGGGAAGAGTTTGCATCCCAACATTGCAGTCTATGTCTTTTCATTACCCTAATCTTTTCCTACCCCTTGCCCCCATGGACATCTCTCCTTGAAGGGGCCTTTACTGCTGATATAAACCATTAGGCAGGTTCATAGAGGGAGACATAATCCTGAGACCCTAAACTTTATTCTGACAAAGAGAACAAATGCTATTGTGTTCCATTCAGCCAATATGAATTTAGTGTTTGTGATATATTACTCATGGAATTTAAAGTATTTATACTATACTAAGTGACATTTATAAAAGAACTGTCTTGCTGTATCTTATAGTAACACAACAACCAGTGGGCATACATTTTGCAACCATCCTTGCAAGAATCTGCAATAAATCGCATCTGGATGATTCACCATGAATTGATACTCTATGGTTAATGTTAGATTAAGAAATGTATTCCACTATTCTTCACATCTATTTTCCCCATTTCAGATACAAGGCAACTTCAGCCATCTCCTCCCTGGCCTTATGATCCATCTTACCAATACCTGGGATCAATTGCAACTTCTTCTGTTCATCCAGCCACACCGATTTCACCTGGAAGGGCTAGTGGAATGACCTCCCTTTCTGCAGAGCTTTCAAGCCGGCTAACAAGTAAGTGGCTTGGAGAATCTTGTCCCTTGAACAAGTAAAATGCTGCAGTTTTTTGCATGAATTACAGTGTCAAGGTGTAATATAATTCAATAAATTTGGTTCTACCCTGTTGGATTTCCTGTCCCCTCCCTATTCTTCTGATAGTTTCCAGAACAAAAAATGTTGTGTTTTATTGGGATAAATATATAATAAACAAATTAAAGTGTAGAAAAGAGTTCAGATCCAAGACATTAGTGTAGCCAGTCAGAGATGTGATATTAGCGGAATAATACTTTAGTCTACTAAATACTTTTAAATACTTTTAAAACACTAAGTTAGGGAACTAGCAAGTTTAAGATATTACACTGGCGCCACTGAGGGGAGAGGTGGGGGTTATAGTCAACTCTCAAGAACAGAAGTTGATTGGGTAACTTTGGGCCAATCACTTTCTCTTAACCCAACTTACCTCGTAAAGGGTTGTTGTGGGAAAAGAATGGTATGCATGCTGCCTTGAATTCCTGAAAAGTGGGATATACAGTGGCACTTAGATGTTTGTGAATCCTTTTGAATTTTCAATATTTTGAAAATATGATCTAAAACTTTATCTATTTTCCCCAAAATCCTAAAATTAGATGCTAGCTTGGAACACTTTTACTGGCTTCAGCTTGAATAAATCACACCTGGATAGGAGTTGCTAATTATTGTTGTTGCATGATATAAGAATAGATAAGCTTGCCAATGACTTTATTTCCCCATCATTTCATCAACATGATGGGAAATTCCCCTACTGGTTTATCTCAATCATGGGCACTATTTTCCCACGACCCTGTGTACCCCACAGCCAATTTGGCTTAGATACAGCTCAGCTCAAATTGCAAAAGTTCCATTTTGTGATTTCCAATGCAGCAGTTCTATATGGCTTGGAGGCTGGCTGTTTTCACATTCTTCACCCTGCCCTCTGCTACCTAAATTTGAAGGCTTGGTTTATTTTATAAATTTCATCCATACCAGTGGAGTCCATTGCAATCTTTCAACTTATCAGTCCCTAAAAATGCATACCATTTCCCCCTGCTCTTATGAATAAAACGCCTGAAATTCTGCCTTCCCCTATTGTTGAGAGGTACATCTGGATGCAAAACAATGGCATTCCTGACATCACAGCTCCATTTATAGATACATGCAACAATCAGATGTTCAGCACATGACATTTCTATTACTATATTTCCCTGCTGGATTACAGCCTCAGCAGTTGAATTTCTGCCTCTCACAGCTACTACAAGGAGCACAGGAAACCTTCCCAGGGAAAAAGTGGCCGTCCTCTTTACAACTGGCATTTAGACTTAAAATCTGATCTGCGAGGGAGGCATTTCCAGGTGTTCAGTAGCATTGTTTAGAAGAAAGGCAGATGGTGATTATATATGGCACATCCAAAATTACGACTATAGGCTGTCACAGAAACCTTCTGAGAAACTTGTTGAAGGATATCAAAGAAGTCTGGTTAGCAGGCTGACAAGCTTTCAGAATCTGACACTATATTTGCAGCGCCCTTTTTAATCCAGTCGCAGGGCAGACTGTTTTTGTTTTCTTTCTCCCACCTTTCTGACTCTTTCCCTTCTGTACGTACACATTCCTTTTAGGCAGACTCCACACAGTGTCTAAGGAGGGCTTGCCATGAGGAAAGGTTGCTTTATTGTTATTTTAATGCCTTGTAATAGCTGGCAAGGAAGGGGAGCCAAAGTCTCTGTTAACTGGAGCCTGTCTCCTAGCTCTCTTTTAAGAGGCCATTATCTTTCATCTGTGGGAGGGGGGAGGCCTTGGAGGGGAAGTGAGAGTTCCTCAATCAGCAGAGGAAGGGAGCTGAAGTTCATTATTTCAAATGGGGAACAAGCTATTCAAAATGCTTTTAGTTCCTAAATTTATAAACTTTGCGAATTTCTGTTGACCAAGCAGCCAGTACTCTATCTAGTCCAGATGAAAGGAGTAAAGGAATGAAGTTCACAAATTCTTTCTGTGTGTGTGTGTGTGTGTGTGTGTGTGTGTGTGTGTGTGTGTGAGAGAGAGAGAGAGAGAGAGAGAGAGAGAGAGAGAGAGAGAGAGAGAGAGAGAGAGCTCCCCCTTCCCCCCTTCCCCCCTTCTCTTTCTTTTTCTCTCACACACACACACACACATATAGCTAACAGTCTTTAAATGATCCCTGCAAAATGAACAGAAGTGTCTGCTTGTTTGGTACTAGCTTGGCTTCTCTTCTCCTTTAGGATTACTGATGTGAAGGGTGGATGTGTGGAAAGGTTCAGCTTCGTTTGTTTTTCAGTGTGACCAACTGTCAGAGAAGCCTGATTCATCTCCTACTAATGAAATATTACCACACTTCCCATTAACTGCCCAATTTACAAAATGCATCAGGATGGAAATATACTAAAGGAAAAGCAATCAAGAAATGGTAGTTCTAAGCAGCTAGGTGTTTAGTGGGCCAAAAGGCTGATATTGCAGCATTGAAAAGATAACTGTATGGCCCCTTTCACTGGATTGGAGACCTGATTGCATTTGCCACCTATGAGTAGGTTGCTTATAGACTTTGTATATATAATATAATGAAATATTATATATAATGAAATATAATGAAATAAGGAATTAATTTTTAGAAAATACAGAAGGTAAAAAAACAAGCTATATTAGATGTATTGTATTAGAATATATATGCATTCGAATAATTACTTTAGATAACTATAGACTGCTAAAATAATATACTTTTTTCTTTCAATTTTTAATTTTTTCACTTAAAAAAACACTGTTAATGTATATATTTTTGTTTTGTTTCTTTTTCCTTTTTTATCAATATTTTAAAAGCAAAAATAAGATAAATTGTTGTTGGTTATTTTGTGACAGGGGGTGTGGTGAAATATTTCAAGCTATACCTTCCCAATAACACTGTTCTTGCTTGGAATACTGAAGGAAATGAATAGTCAGCAGTTTCCTAAATAACTGCCCAAACATTGTAGTCATCTTTTCAAGAAAAACTCTTCTTTGTTTTGATAAAGCAAACATGACCTACAAACCTTAATATTGAACATTTTTTCTTGGTTGTTTCTTTCTTACTAAATATATGACTATCACAGTGCTCTATCACTTGCTGCTATCACTCCATAATCTATTTATCATTCTTTATATTCATTTAAAGCTCAAAATCTGAGTTCTGGGTTTACCACATTTGACATGATAAATGGAGGTTCTCCAAGCAGGATCTCCAGGGGTTATTGTATCTGAATAACTTTAGGCAAATAAATAAAAATTCCTAAAGAGAATCACATGTCATCCTTGGTCTTTTCTTTTGCTGCTAAGGGAATATATTTGATTTTATATCAAGTAAAATGTTGATTATTGAGCCCAATTGATGATTGTAGCAAAGAAATGACTATTTGAAACAGGACTGGTGAATAGGGGGACAAAGGTAAAGCTGCTGTCACTTTCTAGGAACAAAGTCACAGTTTTCTCACTAATTGGATCTTAAACAGGATTACTGACTAGAGAATTAAAGTGAAATTTATGACTTTGGTGGTTAGATGAAAGACTTTAATATTAAGTTTAGAAACAGAACACCTCCATAGTACAACTATTACAAAATTGGTAAAAAGTTATTCATATTCATGTCTCCAATAATAACTAGACATATATACTTACAGTAATTTTCAATACTGTGTATACTAAAACACATGAGAATAATCCTGTACCCTAGAGATCGTGGCTAATTTATTTTTACTTAAGACATACATTTCAAAAGCATTCAAGAGCATTACAAAAGCTTCATTGTTAATAGGCAATATTTTGTTTTGCTATTTTACGTTTATCAAATCTAATTTTCTGTTATCCAGCATAATAACTGTGAATATGAGCCCTCAAATAAATTACTTTTAGGCAGGTGGAAAAGTGTATCTGCAATTTTGTGCATGCATAAAATTTCCAAAACCACTCCAAATAGCATCCTCATAACAGAACCACATTACACAAAACATTTTACTGCTGATAATGAGGTCTTGTCTACATTTATCAGTTGCACATGTGTAAAACTGCAGGCTTGTAATCAGGCTACAAGTCATGAAGGCCACCTGTGTATCTGAGTGATTTCTCTTCAATGAAATAAAGTCATGTATTTTTCTTACAGTTTATATCTGTTTTATGTTTATATTCTTTCTCCCAAACCAGGTGCTTCTGACCTAACAGCGTTCAGTGATCCAAGAGTAGGAATTGATCGTCCATTTTCTGCCATTCCTTCCATTTCTGATCCTCGTATGCACTATCCTGGAGCATTCACCTATACTCCAACCCCAGTCAGCTCAGGAATAGGAATTGGTATGTCTGCCATGACCACCGCCACCAGATATCACACATACCTACCACCTCCCTATCCAGGTTCTTCTCAGGCTCAAGGTAGCCCATTTCAGACCAGCTCTCCTTCGTATCATCTCTACTATGGAACATCAGCAGGATCTTACCAATTCTCCATGATGTCTGGTGGTGATCGGTCTCCCCCACGTATTCTGCCTCCTTGCACTAATGCTTCCACCGGATCTACTTTACTCAATCCCAACCTTCCAAACCAAAATGATGTTGTGGACACTGAAGGCAGTCATAGCAACTCCCCCACCAATATGGGAACCACAGCAAGATTAGAAGAAGCAGTGTGGCGACCATATTGAATTATTATTACAGGTGTCTATTCTGGTAATATCCATGCTTTTATATGACAAATGAGAGCACTGCCATGTTTGTCTTTCACACAGAATAACAATCAGTTCTGAAGTCAGTATTTCTGGAAGTATTGCTATGATGTTCTCTGATTGATTTTGCTCAGTGAAGTGATTACATTCCCATAGACTTCTTCCAAGTCTGAACTTCAGAAAATAATATTTTAAGATTGTAGTTTTGTTCACTCATGTTGACTATAAATATGGAAAAGGATAGATACTCAATATGTGTCCAGAGTTTCAGACTTTGAAATTTAAAGTATTTTGTTTGACATCTGGTGCTGAGGCATTTAGTCTTATACAATCTTAAATAATTTAATCAATCATTTTGACCTGTAAGTTAAAAGGAAGTATACAACAATTCTCAGAGAGAAACTGTGAATGCTTCTAATTTAGCAATGCTGTGAATAAGAGTTTTTATATCCTGGAAATAATTTTTTAATCAAGTTGTATATCCCAAAGAATACAGGAATTGTTTTTATTTTTATTATGTTTTTCAGCTGCAACTCATCCTTTTTTGTGTATCATCTTCCTTTATTGGCACCTTAAAATCTGCAGAAAGATTTAATCCTTTTTTTTATATAATGTGCTCGCTTTTCTTGTACTTTGTCAGCTAAGTGCATCTACAAAAGCCTCTTTTCTAGAAAAGTAATTTAATTTTTTTAATATAAAGGAGTGACAACCTACAGTCCTTCTCAACTACTGAAAAAGTACATGATGAGTTGCTCAATATTTATGCTCTGCATTGAACTTTTGTGTGTGATGCTTTTATTTAAATAATGCTTTGAAAATAAGCACATACATTTTGTAGCAACCAAAGTTTAAAATTATTACATATAAAATGGCTGGAATAATTACGGATAATGTGACTTTTAATTATTTACAAATATTGTTTACATTTAGCTCCATTTCATTCTCATCAATAATTTAAACAAAGTCACTTTTGTCCAATTGAGAAGCCAGGTTTCTTTGAAAATGTTATGATGATATAATGTCTTTGAATAAGAAGTTTAGGTTCACATTTGGATGCTGACTTGGGCACTGGAAGCAAAGCTTTGTCTCAGAGTATATATTTTGGAATTTCTAGTACAGCATGATATTTATATTCCATCAACTTTCTTAAAGACAATATAAGTGAAAAAAAATCAGACAACACAACTAAATATTAGCATTCTAAATGACTATTAAATTCCACATTATGGTCAAAATACAATACATCCCAGTTTTCTCCCTTGCCCTAGTAGGAGATTCAAAAATTCATTTAAGGCTGTATGCTAATCACAGTTTTGAAGACCCAAGTTCATTGCAGTCAATAGTGGCTGCTGCCGGTTCAGACCGGTTTGGGCAAACCGATGGTTGCAATCTGCAGGTGGGCCGGCCCACCCGCCCAGGCGCAATCCCATCCTATATCGCTGTGGTTTTGACACTGCACGCATTTGCGGATGGTGCACACAAGCGAATTGCTGTGTTTTTTGACCTTGCATGCATGTGTGGATGGCGCGCGTGAGCAAATTGGCGTGTTTTGTGACACCGCACTTATACGCATATGGCACGCACACTCACATTTCGGGTGCTGGGTAAACCAGTTGTTTTAGTATGTGATGCCCACCTCTGATTGCGGTCCCTCCCCCCATATGACACACAATTCAAAGGATTTTCTAGCAATCTTACATAATTGAAGTTCAAACAAATAATAACTTAAGTGTGGGATTCTTCATTCCAGGCAGATATTCACTCATTCATCCTCAGCTACTTTGCACCCGTATAAAAGAGAGGTGTGGGCAGCATTTTTTTTTTTAATTTGATTTATATGCCGCCCTTCTCCGGAGACTCAGGGCGGCTTACAATGCGTTAAGCAATAGCCTTCATGCTTTTGTATATTTTATACAAAGTCAGCTTATTGCCCCCACAAACTGGGTCCTCATTTCACCTACCTTAGAAAGGATGGAAGGCTGAGTCAACCTTGAGCATTGAGACTACTGAACCTGTTTTTGGTCACCTGAGTAACTCCCAAAGTCCCCACTAAAATTCATATATTCAAAATATTCAAATATTCTGATTTTCAGAGGAAAATTAATAACAATATGCTATATTTAAAGTGCATTGGGGGAAGGGGGAGCAATCCAAATGGGTAAAATAGATCAAGAAAGCTCATCTACCACTCCAGAGAGGTGATATCACCACCACCTGGGAACTAAGGTGTAATTTATGGACACAAAAATATCTGTTCGTAACATATAAAGAAAAATGCAGATACTTTTTCTCTCTCTAGGAAAAGGACCCCACTATCCACAAGTAGATAGAGGCAGAGCATATACCATAAAGTAATAATGTTTTTAAGAAGAGATTGGATAACCATTTGTCTGAAATGGTTTAGGGTTTCCTGCCTAAGCAGCAGGTTGGACTAGAAGACCTCCAAGGTCCCTTCCAACTCTGTTATTCTATTCTAAGTCCTAAGCAGCCCTACCATGACATCTTTCCAATATCCAAACTTGCAGCCTTCTGAGGATGCTTATGGTCCAGAAACAAACCCTTAAGAACAACTGGTTCATATGGAACGTGGGCCTCACATCTGTATGTATGATTATGTTTGCATATCCCACCCTGTAACTTGGTGTGCATTTTTCTTTGGTTCTATTTGGATTTTATAAAATCGCTCAACTTGGTAGTTGTTTAAAAATGCCATTGTTTTCTAATACATCTCAAACATACAAGACGTCACTTTAAATTACGGTGAGCATCACTAGTTTATGTGGGATCTGAATGCAGTTGTATTCCTTAAGACCACCCAGTGCTCTCAATTTCTATCAGAAGAATTCATATCTAGGCGCATCCATGAATAATAAATAGCACACTTCTCTTCCAATTTATGCAGAAATAAGTACCCTCTCTACTTACTTGAGAATAAGCCCCAATAAACACAATTCACTAGCTTCTTCCAGAAACAGACTGGATTAAATCCATTTTAGCACTCTATGTTCTGAGAATGTAACAATAAAAAGCACTGCTTGAGTTGGGTAAGATTCTGGAGAAGCCAATAAGCTTTAAGTGCTTGGTTGGCATATGCAGTGTTATAGATGTCAGCCAGGTTCAGATGAAAAGTTGCAAAAGGCCATGTGTAAGCACTTTGCATGTATTCAGAATGCACTAAACTTACAAGAATCGGGGAAGCTGCCTTATACCAGGCTACTTGTTCACATAGCCCGGTATTATCTACTTCAGAATCAGCCAATATTTCTGGCATTGAGCACCACTGGCAAAATCTTTAGCACTCTCCTATGATGTTGCTATAATTTCACAGGGTTCCCATGAAGTTTTCAACAATTTTAAATATTGCTTTAATTTGAACAAAAATTACTTAGTGCTATCTAGAAGATACCATGCTACTTATAGACAGCTTGTTGCGGATGCCTGATGTGCTATCAATAACAATTTTCCACGATCAGGCATTTTTCACAATAGTTGCTAACCGTTCTTTCAGTTGGCAATGTCAGCTATTTAAACCAAGGTCCTTCTGTATGCAAAGTATGTGCTTCACCAGTGAGCTATGACTCAGTTTTTGCAGGTGTGCCGGTTTCCTCTTACATGTGTTCCATTCTATCCTTTTTTGTACAGTATATCGTAAACATTCAGAAAACAGTGCAGTCATGTAGGAAGGTCTTAAATTGAGAGCACTACATCTAATGTTTCAACTATTATCTTTTCATACCTTTCAATATCTTCCTGGAAGTAAACTCATATAGCACTCCCTAGATTAAAATGTAACAGTACTAACAATTACTTATTTCTTACTTTATTATATTCTTTATTATTCATGGTGGGCTCTTTACCCAATATTTAAGATGTCCTAATTCATTGCCTTCCTCCGCCCCAAAAAAACTAACCAGATTTGCTTTTCCAAACTGTCTTTCTCATGACATTGTCAGTATTAGAATTTGAAAGGCAATTAGTCACAAATGAATGCCAATGAACTTTTAAAAGTGTATATTCAGGATTTCAAGTATGAACCTGACCATAAGGCATAGAGAATCTACATTTTTAAAACTTGATATCTTCCAGATGCATTGGATTTCATCTGTCATCATCCCCATCCACTTTGAATAACTGTAATGGTTTCATAAATATTTTCAGTAGTTTGGTGGGGGGGAATAGCACTTTACTGAACTTTAATTTTATAAGACGATCACATTTGATTTTATCCTGCAAAATATTGCTGTGTAATTAGAAATGCTAAAACAAAGTTACTCCTAAAGATAGAGCTTTACAAATATACAGACATCACATGATAATAAATTTGTTGCATTTCTGTTGGATCTCATTCAGGAGGAACAATTGCAAGGTGATGTACTTATAATCCAGTGTTTTTGCCTGCCTTTAAATAGTATGCAACCTCTGTGATGCTTCCACTTTTGGAGCAGTGGTTCTTATGACTGCATTCTACGAAAAAATATGGGATCACTCTCTGGTGAAGAATCTTCCCTAATGTTATATGGCAGCCTTCCCTAACCTGTCATTTGGGGAGATTAAATGCAATAGCTGAAAGACACCAGATTACACTAAATCTCTCAAAGTGGCCACCTCAGAGGAAAATTCCTGGGTTAAGGAAACATAGTTGGGTAGACTTAATTTAGGACTTACTGATCCCATTCTTGAAGTGCTTTGTTTTCCTAAAACATAGAATCAAACTTGGTAAAGCTGATTATATATTAAATTCATCTGGAGCCCTGTGAAAGGTATTTTCTAACACTGCCTTTCTCAAGCAGGTGTTTTGAAGATGTGCTTGATTTCAATACTGATCTGAAATGTTGGGCATCAAAATGAAAAAACATTTGGAGAGCATCAGCTGTTCTATATTCTATACAAACCAATTATACATTGGAGTTCCTTTTGATCCTTGAAAACAGCTATTCCTTTGACAGCAATTTGCTTTATTTTTCTGTCTGACAATTTTTTCCCTCCAATTCAACAATATTACCATCTTGTAAAACAGATCATGAAATACTTGGCTTAATAGCAAATAGTAATTGCTTTATTGAAATGAATTTGATTTTAGTTGAGCTGAACTGATTTAAAAAAAATAACCTGCTGGGCTATCAGATTCCACAACTGAGATTATAAACATAGTTATCTGTAAAAAGAAAAAGTAAGACTTATTTCAAATGACTAAATGTTTGGGGTTAAAAAACCTCTGATACTGCTGTTCAAATAACATTTTTCCTACGTCATAATTCAGTGGAGCAAATGGTTCTTATTTATTTCTGTATATTAAGATTTCTATTAAAAGGCCAAGCTGATTTCTAACAGACGACACATAATTATAAATAAAGTACTCATTACTGTCTCCAGAAGATTTTGTTACAATTGCTTTAAAAAGAATCCAACCTTTGTTTTTAACATTTTGCCATTCTATCAACCTTTTGTTAATTTCCCTTGGACAATACTATCCACTAATTATTTTGTTTTACTTGTCATAAAAAAGTTGTCATGAGACTTACAGTAATTGTATTTATATATGTAAATAAGTTTTAAAAGCTTCATAGAACATATTGGTAATGCTTGTAAGTATTTGACATTTTCCTCCTTTACAACACCTTTTCTGAATTCACTTTTCTTAAATACTGTAGAGAACTTTCTTCCAGCTTAATTATTTTAGGTTTTGAGATGAACTGTTTTAATTACTTTGTAAACAGTTAAAGCATGGTTTTATGTGGCACATTGAAATATCTTTGCTTTTTTGTTATAGGAGAATGTGCAAGCAACTGTGGGTTATTTGTGGTATTTGAAAAGTAGCAGACCCAAGTTATAAAAGTGAAATGTTTCAAGAGATGTAAAGTGGTAAATTTGATGAGTGAACAACATAAAGAGAAAATTGGGCTGCTTTTGAGAACTATGTTAGAACATGTGAATTCAACTTTTCCTGGGTGTATTTATGATCAGCTTATACAGTGTACAAGAATTGCCACACCTTTTCCTGATCTGGTTATATGGGTCACTTTTAGAAGGGGTTCTCCCCAAACAATAGTGTTTTCTTCCATGGGGAGAACAGTCCATTTTTACCCACTCAATTAAGCCTCTAGTTGCATAGGCCCTTCCACATAACAAGGTCAATGTGTCCAGAAGAATTTATTGTGAGTAGCATGCAGAGCAGCTGGACTGTTGCATTACTTCTACTGGAAACTTGCTTTCTTTGTACCATAACTCTTCTGTACATTCAATATTACAGTTAGTATCAATGACAAATAAACTGTTTGAGAAGTAAATAAGCATCAAATTGGTTCATTATTTCACTGAATTTTGTGAACACTAGGTTGGTGCTTTGATTGCAGTGCACACTAGAGTGTCATGTATGGTGTCTAGCCTCTGCTGGAACACAGCCAATGTAGGAAGTTCAATGTCTCTCTGGGGAATTTATTTCACTGGTAAACCAATTTCTGCTAATTGTTCTGGCACTTTCAAGAGCCCCAGAAGAACAGAGAAGATCAATCTCTTATTCATCGTAAGTTTGGAAACTCCCAGAAAAATGGAAATCTTGCTATCCAAAGAACGTTTAAATTTCCATTTGATGAGAAAAAAAGCTCAAATGTCCCTTTCCTAAAGTTTCTTGTATTTTTTTTCATCATGTGCTCTTAATAACCAGATTCATATCAGTCCAAGATTTGCCTGTAATTCCCAAGATTTTGACACCTGAGACAGAAAAATCCACAAGTATCTTTCTATGGGAATACATATCCATGAATATTTTTTCTTGACTTCACAGTACCTCAACTCAGCTTTGGACATTAGCTACATTCCATCATGGGCTGCCCTTG